TGCAGAGTTGCCATCGTAATCCTTGAAGGATTCAGAGGAAATTCTAGGTAGCGAGTAGGAAAGGTTCCAATAGAGAATCCAGAAATATCTGCTATAACCTGAGCCGAAATCTGATCGTAGCCCCCAAAGAATATCTGAGACTTTTCCGGGTTCATGCTAATACCACTCATTCTTTTGAAATTTTCCATCACTTAGCATATCCCTCTAATAGACCATCAAGAGCCATTGTAGAAGACCATAAGGTTGTCAGAAAATAGTAGATGAGTGATTTTAGGTTCGCAGCATCTTGGGTGGGGTCTAATACGGCCGCAGTCTGCTGCTTTAACGAGGAGATTAGAGAGTACTTGCATCACAAATAAAAAGCGGTATGGAGATAACGGGCCCCCTTGACATAAACCTTGTTTACCTGGGAAGAAACATTCCAGTTCACATTTTATAGCCACTGAGAATCTAGGAGATGAGATACATTCACTGACCCAACACCTGAAGATAGGAGGAAAGTTCTGGGCTTCTAGTAATTTAAGAACAAAATCCCAAGAAACAGTGTCGAAAGCCTTTTTAATATCTACTTTCAGCATGGAGCTTTTCTCACATCTTGCCTTGCCATAGTCCCTGATAAGTTCAGAAGAGAGTAAGACATTTTCACCAAGACTATGTCCCTTCAAGAACGCTGATTGGCATGGACTTATGCTGTCTTGCAGAACCCCTTTAATCCTGTTGGAGATGAGCTTGAAAATAATCTTGTATATCAGGTTGCAACAGCTTATTGGTCAAAAATCCCCAAGTTTACAAGTCTGGGGAACTTTAGGAATCAAAGCAATGGCCGTGTTGTTCAAATCTTTTAACAACTTGCCATTGAGGAAGAATTCGTTCACAGCTGCTATAACATCTGGTCCAACTATACTCCAAGCCGAACGGAAAAACTCAATGGAATATCCATCAGGACCTGGGATTTTATCAAGCGCCATACAAAATACCATTTTAGTTATCTCCTTGGCAGTGACGGGCCGGCTGAGAATCTCGCATTGGGCGTCTGAACACCTGAAGGATATAAGCTCATGAAGTTCTCTAATGGAGCAGGGACACACATGCATGTCAGTGTGACCCAAAATATTCTCAAAGTAGGAAGCATAATGAGCTTTGATTTGATCCATAGAGCCTATGTACCCATCATCCTCGTCCCGTAAGTAATGAATGTGACTGCTAGCTGCACGTTGAATAACTGACTTGTGATATAAAGCAGTATCACGGTCTCCCAAATGATTCCATTTTACCCGAGATTTTTGTCGGTAGAATTTCTCTTCAGCTTTAATAAGAAATTGCCATTTTTCTCTTTCCACGTGTTCTAGTCTAGCGGTGACAGGGTCCACGTTTGTTAGCAGTTAGCGTTGTAACTTAGTAACCACAACTGATTGATCTTTCACTCTCTGAGTTATACCACTGAAATGAGTTCTGTTAAGTCCACGTAGAACACTTTTTAATAACTTCAGGGATCTTTGCAGCTTGAACTGGTATGTGCCCTGGATAGTGACACTATTCCACGCTTCCTTGACTGAATCCAAATACTTGGAATGATCAACTATATGGTCAAAGAATTTGAAAGGTTTGACTATCCGACGTCTTAGAGAAGGCATGGAGACCAAGCAAGGAGCATGGTCTGATTGCTCAGGCTCAAGAAACTCTCCAAAAGCATCAGGAAAAGAATGAGCCCAAGGAAGAAGTGATCGATCCTTTTAGATATTGGGTTATCATCTTGATTGTTACACCAAGTGAAAGGAAGGCCCTTAGTGTGAGACTCAAATGGTTCAGCTTCCTGGATAGCGAGGGTGAAATCATCAATACCTGCAGCATCAACATCAATATACGGGTGTCTAGAGTGCTGGTCAGATCTGAGAATTTGGTTGAAATCACCCATTACAGCCCAAGGACACCTAGAGACAGGAGTAGAAGCATTAAGGAGAGCCAATTCGTCCCAAAGAGAAGATCTTTCTGCGGCCAAGTTGTACGCATAAACAAAGGAAACCATGAGATCAATATTCTCAGCCAGAATAGAGAAACCACATGTGACTGCCTGCGCTGAAGCTTGATAGAGTGTCATAATCACCGAAGGATGCCAAACAACAACAATTCTTGCCGTGCCATGATGAGTTGAGTTCTCAAAAAACTTCCAACCAATTGGAAGAGCATTAGATATCCGTCATGAATTAATAGGTTGTATGTGTGTTTCTAAACATTCACCAAAAAGTGGCATGTGGGTAGTAATCCACTGCTTGACCGAAGTGTGGCGTTGGTTGATATTCAGCCCTCTTACATTCCACGCAAAAAACATTATAAAATGTTGGATTAGTGTTTAGTAGCCTTGCGGCTACTCTTCCTGTTGGAAACCAGGAGAAAAAGGATTAACGGAGAGACGTTCCTCCGACTGAATGTGAGCTGAAGACGACTCATTCTCATCATGAAACACCACTACTGAAGCGTTGCAGCCCATAGGATGATCAAGGCAAAAGACTGGGCTGGAAGCAACTACCTCATCTGCAACATATGATTTTACCTAAGGCGTGGAAGGTTCTCCTTCTGGAGCTTTAACGACCTCTTCTGAGTGTTGAGATGGTAGCGGCTCACCAACTACAGCAGGCTCAACAACGGTTGTATCTGAAGATGTTGCTTCCTTATTAAGATTCATGCTATGTGAAGCAGTATCAATAATTGGAGGTAGTGACTTTGCACGAGAAGAATGCCGCTTAGATTTAGATACTCTGCTTCTTGAGCATGGGCCAGTGCGGTGTGATAAAGACGGACATTTGTTGCCATCATTACTCCGTAAAGCAACATAACGAGGACAACGATCAACTTCATGCCCAAATTTGTCACAGTGAGAGAATTTCTTGGGAAGCCAAGGATAAGAAACTGCAATCTCAAATTCCTTACCATTAGAGAATCCTGAAACAATTGTGCTTGGGAGCTTTGCTAGGAGGTCAACTTTAGCCCAAAGCTTAGCCACTTCAAAATTTTCTTTCATTTCAGTTTCAGGTGCTAAAGAGACTGGTTTACCAATGGATGTTGACAATCTACTCAAACTCTGCTTATTAAAAAGGAAATAAGGCATTCCCCGCATCTCAACTAGGATGACCGCTGTAGTAAGCTGAGGTTCTTCATGAGAGAAGTCAGAGGACCAAGGCGCTACGAACATGGGGCAACCTGCAATCATCCAAGCAGGTTGACTCAAGAGAATATGTCTTGTCTTCTCACTAGTGACCTTGAGGAGAAAGCAACCTTCACCAATTTTATGCACAAAGATTCTCGGTCCCGAACGAGCCCAAATTGCGTTTACAACGCCTATAATACGCCCTTTAGACGGGATATCACCACGAAACCGAGCAAATATGAATTCTTTAAACTCTTCTTTTGCCTCATCGATGTTTTTGTCAGGTATAAGAACAAAAGGGGCACCTGAGATATGAGTAGTAGGAGTATCAAGTTCTTCCAACATGGCAGATTTCTGAACAATGTTAGAAAGCTTCTAAGGAGAGACTGGAGTGGGTTCCTGAGACGCATGGCGAACAGGTAGTATGCTCTCTTCTGGGAGCGATTTTGCAGGGGGGACAGAGTCGGAGGATGGACCTTCAACAACACTAATAACTTGAGCTACTTCTGAAATCTTGATTTCAGCACAATCCAACGCAGAGGATTTCAGCTCCGATTTCGAGGTCGAAGAGGAGGTATTAGTGACTGTAACTGGAGCCTTCGAACCAGCAGCAGAGCCACTGTGTGAAGGAGCACTCAATTGGGAGGATTTCAGGGGAAGACCACCAGAAGCGAGCATGGGGATCCTGGACGAAGCTGTAGCAAATCTAGGTCCTGATTTTTTCTTTTTCTTGACTTTGGCCATGACAGAGAAGACACGAGTGAGCGAAGAAGAGGGAAGGGAGGAGTTCTCAGCAGTGGCGAGAGGCCCAGGCCGCCGGTGCGAAAGGAGGAAATCAAACCCTAATCGCCTTTACAATCTCCAAAAAGAGAAGAGAGAAAGTTCGTTTTTTACTCTTCGTGAGTTTTAGTTTTGGATCAACTGTTTTATTTATAAAATGTAGAATTATTTTGGAACTATATATGATAAATGTGAACCATCATTTAAGATGATTATCTTTAAGACTCAAATATAAGAAATTTGAACAACCATCTACATGATTATAACATGAATACATAATGCTTAATTGAAGTATATTTGATTGTTAGACGTCACATTAATATCACCCCTAAAGTTAAAAAATTGATGTGGAGAGGAAAGGAGCTGCAAATGATTCTCTTTACTCTATAAATGTTACCCCTCAAAAGTGAAATTCTCTCAAAATTTAGATACCCTGTTCAATTTGATCAACATTTATAGAGTAAAGAGACATGCCCATGAATCACTGCCACTTAGTGAGCTGGAGAGGAAAGGAGCAGCAACCTCACGATAAATCTAAGCTTTACAGATCCACACATCACTTATAATGAGCTGGAAACGAAAGGCAGGCATAAGTGGCAGTGACCAGAAGGACCCGTGTTCGAACGTTGAAAATAAAAGAAACCTTTTACTTTCTCGAGTAACTAACAACATCTCGAGATCTGAAACCTGATCCCTACCTTTTTCATTTCCCCTTTCTCAAAAGTCGCGGCCTTTGAATAGTTTTGTCCTCTCATCAAATCTCGGTTTTCAAGTGTTGTTGACTCATTTCAAGATCTGGCATTATGTCATTATTCCCTTTATAAACCTTTCCTTCTTTTTTTTTTATCCCTTCCAGCTACTACCGTAGTAGGTAACTTTTGGGTGGTCTTACTTGCTTTTCAGCAAAAAGCTGTGACCTTTCTTCTTGTCTTTGGGGATCTGAGCATCTCAGAGCTTATATGGGAAATGGGTCTCTCGAAAGCATGATGCTTTCGTTGCCACTTGTAATCTCTTAGAGGTTTTTGCTCAATGTCTGTAGAGAAGTATGTTGTAGGATGATGCAGAGTAGTAGCTCATGAGTTCATTGGTACTTGGAGGACTCAAGATGATTGATCAGTTCATCAACTTTGTTATTCGCCCTCCCAGGTACTTTTTGCTTCTCTAAAGTCTCAACCTTTTTTTTGACATTCAACTGATTGATAGCTGTTTGACAGGGCTGAGTATGATCCTGATCAGTATTTATGGGAGAAAGACTTTAGCATTGGTGGCACAAAGTGTAAAAGACAAGACTTGGAGGCAAGTATGATGGGCAAAACCAGTTACTGTCCTCTTCAATTACTGGTTAATCTAACTGCTCTCATTTTTCTTTTCTCTCAAGTAGCTTACAAATTCAAGGGGTCACACCTTGCGTTGTAGTCACTACATTCCTTCATCTTCTTTGGAGAATACTACTCCTCTTCCTTGTGTTATTTACTGCCATGGTAATAGGTACATAGCTAAAGACTTTGCACTCCTCTTCTTGGGATTGAATAAGCACTTAATTCAGTTTTCTTTTGAATCAGTGGATGTAGGGCAGATGCAAATGAGGCAGCTATGGTTCTTCTTCCATCTAACATTACTGTTTTCACCCTTGACTTCTCCGGTTCTGGCTTATCTGATGGTGATTATGTTAGCCTTGGCTGGCATGAGGTGTGTTTTCCTTGTCTCTTACTTACTTTCTTAGCCTTCTCTTTCTCTTCCAAATAGTAACACTAACCTTTTGCTTGTTAAACTTAAGCTAGAAAGATGATCTCAAGACTGTGGTATCTTACCTGAGAAACAGCAATCAGGTGTCTCGTATTGGACTTTGGGGACGATCTATGGGCGCAGTTACCAGGTTACTTCTTGAATTAGTTCTCAGCCACACTTAAATGTTAACTATAGAATCATCATTTAATGAAGTTATTGATAAAATGGGCAGCCTTCTTTATGGAGCAGAAGATCCTTCAATTGCTGGAATGGTCTTAGACAGTGCATTCTCAAACTTATTTGATCTCATGATGGAACTAGTGGATGTTTACAAGATCCGACTTCCGAAATTCACAGTATGCTCTCTTTTTCCCTAAGTCATAGTCTTCATTGCATACATCTTCACATGGCTACAAGAGTCCAAGAAGATAGTTCCCTCTCTTATCCCTTCCGATGAAACTCGAATCTCATTTGTTTTCAATCAGGTTAAAGTGGCTGTGCAGTACATGAGGCGAGTAATTCAGAAAAAGGCAAAGTTTAATATCATGGATCTCAATTGTCTTAAGGTGTTATGTAGTTACTTCTCCATGTATTCTTCTTTGACACTTGCTCCAAGTTGTCTTGCATGAACTTTTCGATTTTTGTTCCCCAGGTTTCACCAAAGACATTTATTCCAGCTTTATTTGGGCATGCAAGCGGAGACAAATTCATCCAACCTCATCACTCTGACCACATTCTCAAGTGCTATGCGGTTAGAACAAAGTTGCCCCTTTTTGCATTCATGTCAGTGTTGTTTTTTAATTGTAATGTAGCAATCTTATTGGTAACACCACAGGGAGACAAAAACATCATCAAGTTTGATGGTGATCACAACTCTTCACGGCCGCAATTTTATTATGATTCAGTGTTAATATTCTTCTACAATGTTCTACGCCCGCCTCAAGTTTCTTCAGCTTGCTCATCTAAACTTGAAAATTATAGCGCTGCTGGTTTGGACGAGGTAATTTGCACTCCTCTGGATCAAGTAATCCAAATATCATGTATGTTTATATGTCTACACTTAAGATAGTACATACTAGAAAGATCTTGCCTAGACATTCTGCTCGAGTCACTTACAAGGTAGCTAGGTATATATGAGGATTAAGAGCTCGTGGGCACACGACATTATGGATTAGTGTCCAGTACAGTTAGCATGGTGCACAAGAACTAACTGCTTTGGTTTTACTTGAACTGCCAGAATTTTTTGTATGAGATCATCTCTGGTCTTCGTTCGGCATGTCTCGATGTTGCAAGTTCTTCTTCTGCGCCTCCTGCCTCTCTAACCACAAAGCCAACAAATGAGCTCATTTCAGAAGCCATGCCCATTATGGATACTGTATATCTCCTCTCATGATTTTTCTTTTCTGTTGCCTAGATTATTTCTTCTGATAAATCGAATCATTAATGAAACAGGATGACGTGCTTGTAGAAGACAATGGCCACAACATCGACGAACCTGAGGTAGGAGTATGTGGGAAACCCTTTTTTTTTTTGTGTTCAAAACCCATTTAATATATGATAATTTAGTAGCTCCTTCTAAATTGTGATGGGCTTGTTGACAGTATATGTTTTGACTGTTGTTATTTGGCAGGGGATGCCTATTGATCAGTTCGAAGATGGATGTTCATTTACAAGCTCTAACAGGGAAAGCTGGGGCAGATGCTCTTCACTAGGAGGCTCTGAAGAAGATGAGAGCTTGACCGTTGGCGAGGGTGATCAGGTGAATGTTCTTTGATATAAAAAACAGTTTGATGTTTGGATTTTGGGATTTAGTTTCTGATTCATGCCTTCCAGATCGAGAAAAATGTTGTTGGAAACGCAGAACAGAAGCCAATAGACTCTACTGGACAAGAAGAAGAAGAAGAGAAGAAGGAGAAGAAAATGAAGAAAGGAAGTGAAACAGACGCAAAGAAGCCTAAACGAGAAAGATTGGAGGCTTTCAGCAAAAGACTTCGGCTTTGCATCATAAAACGAGTAAACCATGGAAGACATCGTTCTTCACAACCTTAACAAGAAAGTTCAAGAAAATACTCTGTATTTGCTGTATATCTTCGCTGCATCTTTTCATGTAAACATGCAGCCAATCACATCTGTGTCGATTGTCAATGCAAATGGACTACATTCCCTAATCATATCCATAGTCTATGATATACGCCAACACACATCTTTTAGATAAATTAAATAATCCGTTCTGAGATTCACCATATGGAGTACAGGATTTACGACAATAAGAAAAAATCAGAGAAGTTTTTGCTTACATCATTATGTTATGATTCTTTTTAAAATGGATGATGATATAGGCACCATTAACATATTTAGCCGCAGCAACCTCCTTGTGGTGTGGATCCGTCTCTACCACCTGATGGCCCCGTGATTCCTCCATATCCAACTTTTATTCCATGCGACTCATTTGACACATCAAATACACCATCTTCAATCTTTTTGTATATTGTTGCCGCTGTCTTTATGAATGCCTGGCAAAAAATTTAAAAGCACAACACACATCAAAAGTTAAGATTTATGTTTCTACTGGTGGGTAAAGAGTACAACAAGTAGACAGAGTTTGGTGGAATGGGACACGAGTTATTCTATAAGTTATTTCTAAATCTAATTCTGGTATTATATGAGCTGCAGGGGACACTAGAGAAAGCATGTGGGTTAGAAAGCATGGGTGTTTTTGTTGACCTCCTCGACATTCTGAGGAGTCTTGGCAGAGGCCTCCATGAAAATAAGACCATGCTCCTTTGCAAACTGCTCTCCTTCCTCTGTGGTGACTGCCCTTCTGCTGTCAAGGTCACACTTATTTCCAATGAGCATAATCGTCATATTTGCGTTAGTAGCATGCTGCTTTGCATCCTCTAGCCAGCTGGCTAGATGGTTGAAAGTCTCCCTCCTGCAAAACGAAGAACAATATTGTCAGTTACATACTAAACAAATACAAATCTAGTTCATATCTTTAGGTCTCAAAGGCCCCTTAAAAAAAGGAAGAATAAGAAGATCATTCCCAACAAAAAAAAAAAAAAAAGAAAAGAAGAAGAATCTAGTGCTTGACCTAGTGATATCATAGACAAGCAATGCCCCTGCAGCCCTTCTATAGTAGGACCTTGTAATAGACCTAAAGTTTTCTTGACCAGCCTGCCATGCCAATATCACACAGAAAAGGATAAAAAGTTTCTTAAAGTCTAGACAAGAAGAGTATGATTGGGCACAAATCAAACAAGAGAGAGAGAG